ATTTCGGGCTGTTGATGTCAGAGAAGGCGCACGTCAAAGGTGAAGTCTTGGAATGCCATTACAGGTTTCTGGTTTCAGGTCTGGTGTGAGAGGTCGTCGCTGAAGGGAAAACAGTCGGGTACCGTTCAGTGCAGAAGTCAGGCTGGAGCAAAAATGCCGAGCTCAGGAGGCACAAGTCGAATGTTTCGGCACTTAACGGGCTCTGTGGAAAATCACATTTCACATGGAGGCCATGCTGTTGGAGAAAGATGCTCATCTCCAGAAGCTCAAAGAGAGCGCTGATGGTGCAGCTGGCTTAGAAGAAGTGGCATTGGAAGTCCGCGGAGTGCCGGCGTGGTTTGTGCAGTTTCGCAGGAGCAGCTTCGTCAGCGCGTGCTGATGCGGGGAACCGAGAACCGAGTGATTGTGCTTGGATTGTGCGAGCTGCATGCTGCTGGTGGCACAAGCTTTTGGTTCTTGATCCTCCGCTTTCCAAGCAAAGGTTGGAGGGGCGATGCCGCTCTCACGAGGCACAAGCCGCTCCACTGTGGAGCAGTGGCCCGGCGGCCCGGCCCCGGGCCCCGACCAAGTTCTGCTCAGGCGATCCTGTCCGAGAAAGAAGCCCAACTTCAGAAGCTGAAGGAGGGCCACCGGAGTTTCAGGGTGTTGCAAGCCTCCGTGGCATCGTTTGATGTCTTGAGACACTCACAAGATAAGAGTCGAAGACATCTCATTGGTAATGTCAGGTCCATTTCCACTCAGCTAAATTCGCAAATGCGCAACTCGTGCGATATGCAGGCTTATCAGCCCAGAGTGCCGCTGCTGGACTCCAAGCAAAATCGAAGACGATCTGCCGGAGCATTTTGCGTGTTTTGGTGCCTTCATCTTCTCTAAACCAAGGCTTGAGCAGAAGGTGCGATTGCAGGAGGCCTGTCCAAAAGTGGTTTGATCTGTATGACGAGGCGCAGGTACAATGGAGCCCGTTCAAGATTCCGGGGCGTCGTTGAGGCCGAGCTTCACGACAGAGACAAGCAGATCCACAAGCTGACCGAGATTGCTGCAGCCTCGCTTTGTCAAGACTCGAACGCATCAAGCTGGCCCGAAGAATATGTGAAACGACGCGGAGTTGCCTGTGGACACAGTTGCTGGTCGTCTGGAGTGCTGTGATAGCAGATGTACCCTCGTTTAGAAAGTCTTTGAGGTGGATCAGGCGAAATCGTCACTGCAGCAACTTGCTATCGAAGCAGATAGCCTGGGTCTTGGCAGAAGAATCAGAGCAGTTTGCTGTAGTGGGGCAGTTTGCCTTTATGGATGGCTGTCCTCTGCCTACGGATTGCTATCTGGGCACAGTCGTGGCGAAGACTCGCAGCCCAAGACCTCATCGAGTGTCATGCCGAGGTGAGAACAACGAGCTTCAGGCGGAGCTTATTGCCATGAAGGCCAGCTTGCGTGCAGAGGTGTCAGATACTCCTTCAGTCAGACACAGTCAGAAGATTCCACCTGAGCTGGCAAGTGCACGCCGAGGAAGAGGGTTTCAGTTTCGCAAGGAACCCCGACGAACGACAGTGCAATTGTGACCTATGGCTCATGGCCTAAGTGCATCAGTCGCAGGAGTCCGGGTCATTGGTGTCATGCCGGCCCTTCGACTCATGGTGAAAACATGGGGTGCAGGGCGAGGTGACACTGGTAATTTGTGTATTCGGCAGCAAGGCCTACTTTACAGTCGGTGCTCGTGCCGCCAAACGCCAAAACCCCCACATGGAAATGCGCGTCGAGACGTTTGTCGAGCTGTTTTTCGCAGTCACTCGCGCAAACGGCTGAGCAGAAAACCAAGGTGAGACAGAAAATCATGCAATGCCCTGTTTTGTGCAGATTAAAGTAAGTGTGTACTTATTGCCGACAATCAGCCGGCCAGGAGAAGCTCGAGTGTGTCGGGCACCTGGATCTCGGCGGTTTCTCTGGACCACCTATCGCAGCCAAAGAGAAGAAGATTGCGGCTTCGAGCTTGGTGCGTGTCTGAGGTCGCTGCTGAGACTCGGTCACGGGAGGTTGCATGGGCCATGGGTCTGTCCATCTTTTCCTTCTGAAGTTTTTCTGGTGATGCCTCGACCTCATTGCGCCATGTCGAATTATGGACGGTTCTACTTGCAATAGCTGGTCTTCAGCACCACAGCCCAAAAAGTTATCCAGCAGAACAAGATGACAGGAAGTGGATCAGCTTGACAAGAAGCTGGCGGAAAGCGAGGCAATGTGTCTTTGCCCTAGCTCCGGAATCGCTGTGGTGTCTCATGTTATGTTGGAAAAACGGCATCTTCAGGTCAAGCGCTACGGTGGGAGTTGGATGCCATCTCCGTAAAGTGCCGGACAAAGAGGGGGTCGTGCTTTCGGTGGCAACGCCATTTGCTTGCTCTGCAACGGCAAGGAATGGACAGGAAACTGCCACGAGGCAGGGCATGCAATGTTGAAATGAGCACACCATGAGCGAGCCGACCCTACTGAAATGGGCCCTGCAGTGCGGATCCTGGCAATGATCTTACGGACCGCGAGGCTGGCCGTGTGGAGTCATGAAGTTTTCAGATGTTCATGCCGGCGAGTGGTGACGAGCCAGAAGCAGTTGCATGTCGCCGGCTTGCCGGCATTCAGTGCACCAGATGTGCGAATTGCAGAGAGGGTCAACAAGTCTTCCAGAACTAAACCCATGTCTGCTGAAGCTTACATTCTACTGGACGAATCAACTGTATGCTGGTTACACTTTCCAGCTCAAGTTACGAAACTCCGATCTGCCAGACACTAGGCAGCTTGTCTGGTTCTTATGATATGCAGATGATGGTGCTCAAAGGTCACGGCGCTTCGTGCAGAAGCCGTAAGGCTCCGAGAACTCCAGCAGCTGCAATGGCAGCAGGCTTGTCGCAACTCTCGATCTTGCTTCTTGCGAATTTGAGTTTTTGGTGCGCTACATTTCCGCTGTACGCGCCGCTTCGCAGCACGCTGCCAACGCACAGCGCTTCCGAGCGGAGCTGACGGCCCTACGCGCGGCTCTGCGAAGGGAGGCCGGGCTTTCTCGCCGCTTGTGACAGTGCCGTCAGGAGCTCCAACTTTGGCCTTTTTGTTTGGGGCAATGCATGGAGGATTGAACAGAAATTATAGGAAGGACTTCAAGTCCGAACAATGTCGAGCCCCTCTGGCCACGAAACGGGCGAAGCGTGACTCACGCCCAATCCTTCGGCTTGACAGGGACTGGCAGTTGACTCTGGCATGGAGCCGCGAGCCCGGAGTTCTGAGGGGAGGCTAGCTCTGCAGCTGAGCTTCGCATCAGTCGAAGTGGGGTTGGGATGCCGGCAGGTGGTTCCGCTTCAGCTGTCCAAGTGGTTTCTGAGGCTGGCGGCCGATGTTTCGTCCGAGGCTTGCCCAGCCCGTGCGTCTGACTCGCTTCCTTCGCGCGTCGATGAGCTGTTGCTGTTTGCTTGGAGGCTCTGGAGGAAGCGAAGATGGAAACGGCACTAGCTCAGAAAGAGCTGGAGGAATCTCGAGGTCACACCGACAGGATGCTCTGTGTGTTTTGGCTTTGAAGAAGGTCCAGCCTGTCAGGCTTGGCCGTGCAGGCCACCTCAGAGGTGGTGAAGCTGAGGGAGGGTCTTTCAGAGGCCGAGGCCAGGGGCTCAGAGCGGCGAGCAGGCTGTGGTTCGCTTTAGCCGCCTCTGCCCCAGGCGGCTTTGGAGACAGAGCGTCGAACACGCCGCCAAGCTGTCGAGTCACTACACCAATGCGAAGAGGTTCTGGATGGCTTTCAATTTCCGCGCAGAAGTATGGGACTCATCGAAAGGTTGCTGCCAAACTGATGGCCGAGAGGAATGCTGCAAGGGAAGAGTTGGAGGACTGGGACCGCTTCTGGCAGAGTCACCAAGTCTGAGGGATGCTTGGCCATTGCAGCTGGACCAGGAACACACAACGGGGGCTGAGGCTTTCAGAAAGAAGGCAGCGCAGCCACAGAGAAGCGACATGCGAAAGTCTGATTCTACTCTACTGCCAAACAGAACATGCGACCCTTGAAAGTCTTCTCGGTTCTCGACCTGTTGTCACAACTTTGGCTGCACAGGCGGCATCAGACATGCGAGAGAGCAGGTGCTTGCCTCAGCCTGCTTCGTTTCAGAATTTAGGCAAAGCCTAGTGTTGAGCGAGGCAGGGCACAGAGCTCTGCGTGCTCTAGCTCTGGGTGGTCCTAGAATCTTATTAGTAGAGATCAGCCGCCCCGATCATCCGGGTGTTCGTTGTAAGGTGGGCCCGCTTCACTCTGCGCTTGCTGCATTTGATCGATGGGAGTACCTTCGACGAGCTGAAGGCAGAGACGAGGGAATGGTGGTCAGTTGAAGGGCTTTGAGTCACAGGAGCCCTTCATGTGCGTTGCTCCTTCTGGGTCGCTGTCAGGGATGAGCAGCAAGTGTTGGGAACGGGGCAGTGGAACTGGTGGTGTAACGTGTGACCCCGGATGCAGAAGTCTATTGTACCTGCCAGGAAAGCTGGTCTTACGGCCTGCAGCGGTGGCAGGCATAACTGTTTATTCACAGAAAGCCTCTGTCGCAGACACATGTCGATGAATGGGTTGTGCAGGCTTTTGCTACCACGCTGACCGAAAAGATCAACAGCCGCGCACAGGCCTGCTGCAGTCGTAGTAGGTGTGACTTATCACAAGAATCTAAGCACCTATGCAAAAGTCTCTCCTGTAAACAATCTCTAGTTTGCTGTTGAGCAAAGCTATGGATGAAATTTGGGGGTAGGGGGACGTCAAGCAGGACCAGGGTTGGGGTGTTACAACCGCCCGGCCTTCAGAGAAGCACCAGCTCGTCACATCAGGGTCGGGGGAGGTCCCATCTTTGGCGACAAGAATCCCTTCTGATGCGCATGCAGCGGGTTTCCGGATCGTGGTTGCGGGGGTTGTCCGTGCCCTCAATAGCTTCACTCGGTCTGCTCTTCCAGCTCCCAAAAGGGCCGTTCCCCCACCTGCCACGCGTGGATTGAACAAAGAAGCGCCGGTCCTGTCTAGACTTCCGAATCTTCAGACTTGCCATCGATGGGCTCCCGGGGCCCTTCTCTGGGAGTCGGGCCTCACCTCGAGTCCCCCCTTGCGCGACTCTGTATCTTCTTTTCTTTAGCTTGGCTGTGGCAGAGACTGAAAGATCCAAATTGAGCATATTGAATCAATGTTTGCTTTCGCTTCTCGCTGCGTTTGGAAGGAAATAGCAGGCAATTGTGCCAAAGGTGCGGGTGCCTCAGTGCTGGGCAGCGGTAGCAGCTACCACGTTCTGTGGGAACCAGCATAGAGCAGTTCCTTCCGTGTTGAACACATCGCAACATTGTGCCTGGTGTTATCATGCGTATGTTTCCAAGAACCTCAGGACCCCAAGATCTTGATCCCAAGCTTGGTCGTTCCGAGGACAAGGCTCTCCAAGCGCTGAACGAGAAGATCACCAGCCAGGCCCGCAAGATCCAAGGATCGCTTCACAACTTGCGAGCCGGCAGAATCCCAAAGCCCCAAAGCATCTCAAGATCTTGTTATGACCCTTGTGTGTATGTGAAGTGTTTTTGATGCAGATTCGCATCAGTGGTTTGTTTCTGATGTCTCATTTCTCGATAACAGGAACTGCAGATGGCGGCTTTTGCAGACAAAGCGGTGCAGGAAGCTTTTCGTGTGTCTGGAGTTGCTGCAGAAAGCGCTGAGCTCACAAGTTACCGAAGCATCGATGCAGTTTATGGCCTGATTGATTCCTGAACCTGTCTGGTCTTTTAAGTGTGATGACAGTGAATGTGATTTCAACACTGTGCCATGCAGGAGTTCAGTGAAGCCCAGAAGAGTTGGGAGGCTGGGTCGCCGGTCTTTGCAGCATCTAGCCCCGAGGCTGTAGAGAGTACGGAGGTGCGGTGCTCCCTGGACAGGAGTGCCTGAAAAGAGAGCGCACGCTGCGCTTATCTGCTGAGGCCGCACCATCCAAAGCAAAATCTGGGTCCTTGAGAGACAGTCCGTGCCAGTCGAATTTGCACAGGAAGATCTCCGCAAGCAATGTGGTGAGCAGGCTCGAACTGCAGATTCACACTCATCCGATCCCAGAACAGGAGAGTCGAAGGTCTGTGATGAAAGTCAGACGCATGAGTACACTAACTCCAAAATGATTTCAGCGAACACATTCAACAAGCTTCGTCTCGATGCTGCTGCCACTTGCAGGCTGTCGACTCGGAAAACGATCGAAGTGAGGCCAGATGCCCAGGGGTACGGGGACTCCTTTTCGAAGAAGTTTCCTTTGGGAGGACTTTCTGTTCATCTGCCCAGCATCCTGAGGTCGAAAGGCTTCAGAAGCAACTTGCCGAAGCACAGCACACGCCACTGCCTCACCAGGTCACCATGCCCACCAACTGTGGAAGTAATGACCGTCTTCTCGCTTGCAACATCATGCATCCATCTGCATCGCAATCCGCTTGTTCTGCAGCCAGTTTGGCACCGACGGATAGTTGGAAACCAAACTTGTGCTTCCCGCGGGTGCCATGGAAGACTCGAAAGGGTCCGCACTTTCCAAGCAGCTGGTGGTCAACACTCTGTTGGGGTACGGTATCTTTGGTGCTGTGGACTGGCCGGCACTGCTTGAGTCGCTTGAGTCTTGCGCTTCGGCATGTTTCTTTCTTCTTTAGGCCTTTATTTTTCGCTGTAGGTGCAGGTTCTCTACCGCTTGATATGGGGATGGCGAGCATCCTCTCGGATGAAGGGCCTTCTGGAAGATGTGCCCGCCACAAAGGGAGCCGGGCACGACGCACCTGCTGGCTGGCTCAAGGAAAGCTTCTTCGCTCGATCGATGTTTGCATTCTACTTTGTCGTTTGGACATGCAGCCGCTCTTTTTTACAGGACCTCACAACGAACCTCTACCGTATTCACGACTGGCGTCTTGAAATCTGCGATGGGCAGCCGATTTCCAAGAACGTGGGTTTCAGCTGGCACCCTGGGATGTACACCTTGATCGCAAACGATGCGGAGATCGTGCGTCACATCTTGAAGGATGAGTTCAACAAGTACACGAAGCCAGAATGCTTGTACGATCCGTTCTTCTTCTACTTCCAGGATCTGATTGTTACCTCCTACCTGCCGACTAAATCGACTGTAGAAAGGGCCAAAAGCTGAGGGCCACCAAACACAGGGTCTCCGATTCCTCCTCTGCTGCTGCGTAGACACGGGGGCGCAGGAGTTCTTGGGTGATGGCATTTTCGTGAGCAAGCATGGCGTAGGCCGGGTTCGGCCCTTTGTGAATCGTGACGTTGATGTGCCAACGCCAGAGAAGCCCTGGCAGGTTCTGAAGATCGGGGTCAAGAGTGGGGCCACATGCGCAAAGTTTCCTCGCAGATCTTCAGTCGGAAGAATTTCAGTTCTCTGCTCCTCGGTCGATGGTGCTTTCAACTGGTTGCACAAGTCCTGGTCCGTTAATCCATGAGGATGAACGAGGTCTTCGTGGAGAAGGCGGAGATATTGCGCCGTTTCCTGCAGAAATCTCGAGATGAAAAGAAACAGGTGGACTTGCAATCGTGCATCTCGATTGCAGCCCGATAAGTTTCCTCTAGAGACTCTCAGGGATGAGCAGGAGCAAGGCCTGCGGGGTACGTTGGGCAAAGAATACGGACCCGGCTTCAAGCACCAGCCTGGTTCACTAAGAGTGGGTAGCATCTTGCAAGGCCTGCAAGGCATATTTCGCTTCTTATTCTAGGTCTCAAACGTGTCGAGGCTGTTCGGAGAGCTCGAACCGATGTCGTTCCGGCCTACTCTTTTCTCCACAGCAGTGTGCTTTTCTTGCTCTGCTTCCGTCCATCAGTGTCGTTCAAGCGGCCGGCTGCTCGTCGGTGTTCGACATTGAAGCTTTTGCTCTGCCTTGTGCAGTGTCTTCAGCGAGAACAGCTCAAAGTCGTGCACGGCATGACGAGTGACTCCCTTCTCCTGATACATTTCCTGTTGTCACCGATGAGAGCAGCATGGACGAATAGATAGGTAGCCTTGACAAGGCTTCTTCAATTTCACTTTCGATAGCATCATGCGCATCTTCTTTGGCGAAGAGTCCAACACGGCTGTCGGTGTTCCGAACAAGTACGGCAAGGCTTTGACCGCACGCTCATCCAGTGCGCCTGTCTATGCTTTCGCTTTCGCGCGTTTGTGCCCTTCTGAGGCTTTCGACACCGCACAGAACAACATGCGAAATCATGCTGTGGATTCGCTGGCTCCCTTCATGTTTTTCAGCACGTTCCTGCCATGGCCTTTTGGTGGCCGACACGGACGGGACTTTCACGCAGCTTTGTTGAGTCACCTTGCTTTCATGCAGACTCTTTGGACAGGAGGATTGGCCCGTTGGCTTTGGGACTGGTCATCCTCGAGCTTCTGTGGCCGCAAGGAATTGGTGTTTGAGTATGTGGTTTTGGTTCCCCAGGATGCTCACAGCTTAGTTGCCATGAGAGCTGCAGGGTTCCGGACACTGAAGTCATCATGCCGGGTGCTCGATCGGGAGGCTCCGTGTAGTTCGCTGTGCAGTCAGGTGTTTCAGGTGACTGGAGGTTTTCTCCAGCTTGTTGTCCTTCTTGACATGCGAGCCCTTTGCAAGGCCGACCGTCTTGTCAAGAAGTGTCGTGACGATCCGAAGCTTCCGGAGCGACGAGACTTACTCGCGCTGTTTATCCAGGCAGCCTGAGATTTTGGGACTCTTTCATCTTCCAGCGTAGTCATGTTTCGACGTAGCTGCTTGATCAGGACGTGCACGAGCCTCGTCCGACCAGAAGCCATACTCATGAAGAGCTCGTCTGAGCTGTCACAGGCGAAGTTCAGCACGGACTTCGTGAAGCAGATGGTGTTGCACTTGATCATCGCTGGGAGAGACACTACGGCTTGCCTATTGCGCCCTGGTGGTGAGAGAACGGCATAGCAGAGGTTATTTTGAGACATGGCCCATGCCCAGGTCTTGGGCGTTCTACGAGCTCACCCGGAACCCAGACGTTCAGTCTCGACTTCATGACGAGATTATGGAGAAGCTGCCACCAGGTACAGCGGCATTCGCATATTTAGAGGTGAAAGCTGCATGTTCCAGTTTCCTCAGGCACCAAGCTAGACATGAAGAGCCTAACCGTGCCCAAGATGCAGCAGGAAGATTGTCTGGGACATGCAAAATCACGAGAGACCACACACCTGGAGTGGGCTTTGACAAGAACCCAGGCGGGTGAAATGCCATACCTGAATGGCGTGATGTACGAAGCCCTTCGGCTGTGGCCCCCGGTGCCGTTCGACCCAAAGATGGCCTTTGAAGACGACGTCCTGCCCGGTGGGTGCCTGGCAGAGACAGAGTTAAGATGCTAGAAGTGCAGAAAGCCTGCGTCGCAATTCTCAAAGTCACTCCAGTGCGTTGATGCTTTTGGATCTTCCATTCAGGTGGAAAGTGCCAGCCCTGGCACAGGTGGCTTACTGCCCCTATAACATGGGCCGAGATCCAAAACGATACCCAGAACCTGAGGTTGCTCAGCTGAAGCATGACTCTGGTCGAGACCCCGTCTCTCTCTCTCTCTGCCTCCTCTGCCTCCATAGGGGGGCGTCGAAGGTGTTCTCGCCATCCCAGGCTTTCCGCCCAGAACGATGGATCCCCTTTACAGCGCCGTCTCAACACGAGTTCCCTGTCTTCCAAGCGGGACCGCGGATTTGCCTCGGCCTCCTGGCTCTAGACTCGTGTGGCTTTTGCTTTGGTGTTGAGCGGGGGGGGGGTTAGGGTTTGGGGTTTAAGGGTTTAAGGGTTTAGGGTGTTAGGGTTTAGAATTGCGCCTTGAGAATGCGCCACTTTCAGGCATGGACATGGCTCTCTTCGAAGCGAAGACAGCTGCGGTGGAGTTGCTTCGTCACTGCCGATTTGAGATGGTACCCGGACAGAACATCACCTACGGTGACAAGATTACCCTGGACATTAAGAGCAATGGCAAGGAGGAGTTCCTTGTGCATGTCAGGGACTGGTAGCAGGTGGGAGCCAGGGAGCTGTTGCAAACAGTACATGCTGCGCTCAGTGGCCGTGACGGACGCATATGACAGCATGTGAGCAGCTTCGAGTGCAGGCCGACCGTTGAGCTCAATGGTCAAGGCAAAAGCTGTGCTGGTTGAGGAGCACATTCACCATGGCACTTGCACTGTCTGTCGCGTAGGCCGCAAATCGCAGCCCCGATTCCTGCCTTGGGCCGTTAGGACAGACCACGCAGAGACTCAGAGGGTGACTTCTCGGAAGCCTTGCAACAGACGGATCGTTTGGTTGCATGCGCAAGCACTGGGCCGCTGCTATCAAGTGGCCATAATTGGACAGACCGCAGACGCACACTTTTGAAGGATGGGAGATCTGCGTGTCTGTCTCAGGGTCTCACGAGTAGGCCAACCCGACCGACAGGCAGGCTGAAGCCCTGCCGGAGTCAGAAAACCATGGGAAAAGGGACCGCGATGTTTCTGCTATTTCTTTGACGGCTTCCAAGCTATTTCAGGGATTTTCCAATCGCTTGGCAGGTGGGTCTCTCGCACGTGCTGGTTCACAGCTTCCTTAGTCAACGTAGCAGCCACGTGGGAAGCATTGCTGCCTTTAGTGGCAGTGCACGGCCCATGGACGATGCGAAGTCGCGGCATGGGAGTGTCGACTCCTTGCCGAAGCAGTTGCTCTTGAAAGGCTTGTTGGCATACAGCTACTCAGCTGTTGAAATGGCATCGGTCGGGGTGTCGCGCCAATCGCTGTTTTCAAGACGAGTCTATTGGTGAGGTGCTTTCGGTGCAGTCCAAGTCTTTATCCGCCTTATCCGCGGCTGGAGGGAGTCCTTGAGGATGCGAGACGCTTGGACAGAAATGGAACCTAACATGACATAGCAGCAGAGCGAAACCTACCCTGGAGTCCATAATCATCGCGCTCTTCAGCACAATTTCTTGGGGACGACGGGGGGTTTTGGGGAGTCCAGAAGCTTCCTCGGCGTGCAACCTTCAAAGCTCGAAGTCGGAGAACTCGGTGGGAGTGAAGTTTCGGGACACATGCTGAAGAGAGTATGTTGTTCCTACCAGCACGAACCTCTGGTAAGCGGAGGAAGCGGCGGGGGATGAACACCGGTCAGACACGATGCAGTAATTATGACTGAAATGCTGTCACGAAGTGATGCTTGCAATCGGGTCTCATTCCTGGCAATGCTTTGCATATGTGGAAACTGTCGGAACTAGGGTGGTCAGAAGACTCCTCACTGGTCTGGGTGTGACAGCACTGCGTCAACGGCGACCTGTACCTTCAGTACCGACAAAGGATGTCCGATGAATGCTGACAGTAGTGGCAATAGCCAATGTGCGTGAGGTCGGTATGCGCATGCAGAGGTAAAGACATGCCAGTGGAGCTAAACCTCCGCCCACCCTCGCCCCTGGTTTGTGATGGCTTTGCAGATTTCTGGCCTGCATTGCTCAGCCAGGACATGCTGGCTGACATTCCGTCGACCAAGGGTAACTCGGTCGAAGAAAGGGCCAGCCTACTAGATATGTTGTGTGGGCGTTTTTGGATACGGTTACGATCTCCCCCAGTATCCCTTGATAATATATTTTGTAGCCACATAAAATCTACACCCTCCCCTCCAAACAAAAATGGAAGGCACAACGTCCTCTTCGAATTACCCTAAACCCCAAACAGTGCACTTTCCGAGGCAACGAGGCGCCGATGTCTTGGCTCAAGGGGATGAGAGAAAACTGGCAGCGCGCCGCTTTGCCAAAGATGGCTCGGGATTCCTTTCGCAGCAAACCGTAGAAAGAAGTCCATTGTTCATTGTGTTTGTCCATCCTTTTTGGTGCTGAGTCGTGTTGGCCTTACACGTTGCTTGCGGTGCTGGCTTGTTCGATTGAGTAGTCGTTCTCCTCCAGCAGACTGGGTGCGGCGTCGCCCGCCAAATTCGGGAGTTGCAAGAAGAAAAGGCTTCCATAGTGAGGGCATGCAGGGATCTGCACGTATGCATGCCCTCGAGGTCAACGACTGGCGCTACGAAATCTGCGAGGGAATGCAAATCTGCAAGAACTTGGGCTTCAGGCACATCTCAGCTACAGTGTGCTTCTTTGCCTGTCCAGTCATATATGTGCGAGGTGGAGCAGTGGGGGGCACTCTGTAATCTGCGGGGACCCTGCAATGGTTCGCCACTTCTTGAAGGACTCCTTTGACGTGTGAGCCTGGCTCGACGTTTTCATTGTGGGAGTTGCAGTCATCATGGCCCCTGTGACAGAGCCTGCAGTCAGGTACACCAAAGGAGACCCATCAGAAAACCCCGTCTTCTTTTATTTGCAGGAGCTCCGCATGCAGACTGTATGACCGTGAGATGTGGTACATGCTTCCATTGCCTGGATGTCTTTGATGGAGAATGGAAAGTGAGCTGACCCGAGAAGTCAACTTGACTGCCAGGAATTTTTGGGCGACGGGATCTTCACTGTGAGGCAAGATGTCTGACGGGCAGCGTGGGATTGATCGCTGGCGTCGGTTGCGAGTGCACTCAAGGTTGAAATCATCATCACATGTGCTCTGCCAACTGTCTTGTTGACACCTCTGTGGGCTTTTCCAGGCATGGTACAGGCTCCGAAGACGATGGGAAAGCTTGGGCGCAGATGCGGAAGATTTCATCTCAAATCTTTAGCCGGAAGAATTTCAATTCCCTGACTCTTGGCTCCTATCATGCTGCTGCTCATCGTCGTTGCACATGATCGCATGCGTCACGAGACCTTCCAAACAACAAGGATGCAAGATGTGTTCGTGGAGAAAGCCGAAGCACTGCGCGGTTTTCTCTCACGTCCGCAGACGCAGCAGGAGAAGCACAGGGCAGGTGCTATGACAAGCATGCAGTGGAGGTCATGCAGTTCGAAGTGAATCGATTAATGCCGATGTGCTGCTGCATATCTTGCAACTTCCCGCACATGATCTGCACTTAACAGAAGCTGGTATACACTTCGTCGATGACAGGAGCCAGTGGACCTCCAGATGGGTGACTCGGCTCAGCAGCTGCCAGACTCAAAGATCTCCAGTGCTATGAGCCAAGGTTTTTTCACCTTCACGATGGACAGCATCATGAAGGTCTTCTTTGGAGAAGACTCCGACACCGTCATGGGCAAAGAGAACAAGTACGGCGAAGCTTTTGACAAGGCTCAGTCTGCAATGCGCCGGCACATGATCAAGTCTCTCTCCTTCCACCTGGTTTCTCGAACGTTTCTGCCTTGGCCCTTCGGGGGCAGTACAGGACAGCGCAGGGTGTCCGATGTGAGCGAATCACTGCTCTTCCCCCACGCGTGCCGAAACATGCGTTTGCAGCGCGCAGGAATCGCACGCATCCTCTGGGACACCTTGTCTCCAACACATCGGGAGTTCATGTCGGAGCGCCGGATCATCAATGCCGAAGCAGACAGATGCCCTGCCTGATATATTCAGAGGCGCATTATGGAGCGCGTAGCATCGCAAAGCCGCCGTCACTTCAGGGAGGCAAAAAGCCAACACATGTGGATCTCAGGACTGGTGCAAGATTGCTTGGCCGATCCTCAGTTCGAGAACCGTCGGGATCTACTTGCTTTGCTCCTGTGGGGCATTTACTTAGCTGAGATTTGGTGCTTTGGCGAAGCTTTGAAGCTATTCCGCTATTCTACCGAGAGCCAGCGCTTCGTCGGAAGCAGCGCAGGTTTCTTCAGGCGCAGAAGGAACAGAAGTTCACGACAAAGTTTGTGAAGGACATGGTCCTGAATTTGATCATTGCCGGCAGAGATACGACGGCCTGTCTGCTGCGCTCGACTTAGCTTCGGGAAGTGGCTTGCTGCATCTTGAAGCAGCAACTTGCTTTTGGCAAGGTCTTGGATGTTCTACGAGATTGCACGGAATCCTGATGTACAGAAGCGTCTGCAGGAGGAGATTGACAAGAAGTCTCCAGCAGGCTGCTCGTCAAAGCATCACAGGATCACTGTTTCGCTGTGGTTGTGGTAGAAGGTACGCCGATGGACCTGAAGAGCTTGTCGCATAACGAACTGCCCTACTTGCACGCGGTGGTCTACGAATCGTTGCGCTTGTGGCCCCCAGTTCCAGTGGACTCGAAGATCGCCCAGGTAGATGATGTTCTTCCGGGTGGTTGGAGGGTGCCGAAGGGAGCAACGCTCGTATTCTGCCCGCGCCCAGGCCAAACAAGGTGGTAGTAGTGGTTTGTTTGAGCACCAGTCGACAACTTGCCATCGTGCCTGATCTCTTTGTTGAATCAGGTACAACATGGGTCGCGATCCAGATCGCTACCCGGAGCCGCTTGTTTTTAGGCCAGAGCGTTGGATTCCCTTCTCCGCGCCGCCGCACCACGAGTTTCCCGTGTTTCAGGCTGGATTTGGCTGAGTCTTGTTCATACCAAAGCGTTGAATGATGGATTCCCGGAGGCGGGACCACGCATCTGCCTCGGCATGGACATGGCGACCCGGCAGCCAAAAACCTTAAGCCTTAAACAGAATGCTGTTTGGCTTAGGTCTTGTGCGTTTCATGGGAGCTGGACTGTGTCACAAGACTACCGGAAGATGAGAGATTGAAGCTTCAAACTGATGAAACCGTCCGTGTATTGGGGTTTCGCACTTGGAGCCGTTGAGGCCGGCTTCATACTGACACCTCACAGGTCTCCAAATGCCGACTCAGCATTGGACAGCATACTAAGATTTCAAGGCAGAGCAACCTCAAGTATGACTACAACATCTTGAACTCGCTTTATCCTGGAGCATGTCGATTCGTGCTAGTGGAAGCTTAAGCCATCCAGCAATGCACCTTTCGTGTGTCAGCGACATTTCGTCTGTCGGAATGGGCTCCCAAGGACGGGTTCCTTACCAGCTAGATTTGTTGTCTGGACACTGGAGCGTAAACACCATGCACGAAAGACGGGGCCACCACAGTACATTTGTGTGTGAGTAAGTTCAGAGAAACCGATAACTTGACACAGTCAGCTTGACCAGAAATACTCGTAGAGAGACATGGTGGAGGGTTCGGAGCCGACACGTGACATGTTGGGAAAGACCATGCAGGCCATCTTCGAGGCGAAGATTGCAGCCGTTGAGCTGTTGCGTCACCTGAGCTTTGAGCTGAAGACTGGCCAGCAGATTACCTACAGCGACAAGATTACAATGAGCATCAGAAGTGGTGACAAAGACGAACTGCTAGTTTGGGTCAAAAACCGCCAGCCCGGCATGCCTTCCTGATTCTGCTTGGGAGTCCGGAAGGGCAGCCGGCATCGATTAACTCACGAAAAAAGCGAGCTCTGTGGCTGTGTGCACGAGGAACCGCTGTTTCGGCGCATACATTAGAAGCAGTTTTGGCCCATGTCTTGGTCCTTCTGAGGATCGGCCAGCTGGTCGTCCAGTCCTTGGACCCAGCCCCGAAGAAGGCCTGTACCGGTACTCCTTTCGAAAGTCTGCACACTTTGGAAGTATCATTCTGTGTTTGTTCATCCTGCCAAAGCGTGCTGCAAGGCTGCGGCATCCAAGCGGGGTGCCTACGCGCACTTCCTGTGCGCGAGAGTGTCTCTGCGAGCTCTGTGCCAAGGACTGCCTCGGCCAGCCTCCGGAGTCGAACACGGTCTTCGCTGACCTAGCCAGAGCAACAGAGGTTCCACAAGCTGCGAGCAGATATTTCACAGCTCGGAACAAGTTCTTGCAGCTCGCCAGTGGGTGCGGCGGCGGAGCAGCAGCCCAGAACTGAATGACAAAGATAACCTGCATCCACGCGGCACCCTGTCCTGGCAACATCGTCACTTTAGGCTCTGCTGTGCTTTGGTAGCCTCTGTAAAGTCGCAGGAGTTTGTGGAGTTTGTACAATAACTCCTCAGTTCCTGAGGAGACGTCGAATGAACCCGACCGAACAGACAAGCTTTGCCGGGGTGTTTCGGTGCACTTGGCTTTGAGGCAACTCTTGCCACCTGTCTTCCGTTTGGGTTCAGGGGTCACCGGCGTCGGTTTCTTTCTCTGGAATTGCCTTTAAGACTTTAAGATTTGCGTGTGTCGATGCTGCTGTCTGTTATTCACATTGCAAGGCTGTTCTAGTGGATTGGGAGCACTCTGCTGCGCAGACTTGGCTCTTGACGCCATGCATCGAGATATTCATGTCAAAACCACCGGTCCACCCAGCTTCCAAACATGAACGCAGTTTGTACCGAAGGCAGTCAAGTTCTCAGTGTCATCCATCGAGATCGAACCAGTCTTCAAGGGCATATCAAATGGTGGTCCGGTAGTCCTCTGATGGCTAACCCGTGCCGGATTGGCCTCCTGCGGGAGCCCGATCTGCTCCAGTAGAGTCTCCATGTCCCTCAGTGAGCTTTGCTCCTTACGCCAAGGAGCTTCATCTTATTGACAGCCGCGGATGACGAGGTTGTCCTCCAGGATCCCTGTCCGAGATTGCATGTCCTTTCGGCTTTCATTGCCTCGGCTGCTGTGCTTGCCAGGCGCCGTGGTATTTCGACTGCTCCAACCATCCAGCTTGTGCCTGAGAATGCCAAGCCTGGCACAGCATTCCACTGAAGGTTGTTGTCGCACATGCAGAACATAGCCTCGGTGCAGTTCATATGGGCGCTGCGAGTGGTAGCACTCAACTCAAGAACTTGATTGGAGTTGTCAAGCTTGTGAGGAATGGAGCAGATTCCGGGAGCGCTTTGCCGCATTCCGAAAGCTGTTCGCATCAGCGAAGGACAATCAGCAGGAAATAATCCTGCACATGCAGGAGGCCCAAATCATACAAAGCAGAGCATTCGGTCGATCGATTCCCCAGGGCAGGTTCGGGAGATGACACGTTCGAGTGTTTGGGTTGGCACAGATTCTCGCGGAAGCCAACGATCTGGGGCGGCGCTACGAGCCCACCTTTGTGCGGTCCCAAGCCTGCACCAGTGTGCGACGAAAGAGGCAACTTCACGGATACGATCTGGCTAATGGCGGTTCCAGTTTCAGATCTGATTCACATCTTTTAGAGCCTGAGTCCTGCAAGGTCCAAACCGTCCTTGCTTTTGTGCCGTCCGTTCCTGTGTGGCAGTATTTCGACATCAGCTGGTGAACTTTTTGGTGAAATGTGGCTTGGTGTCTCCAGGCCCGAGTGCCAACAAATGAGCAAATCAATCCTTTCTTCCACGGATGCGTTTGCTTGCCGGGTGTGCAATGAACGCTAGCCATGTTTAGACAAGCAGAGTTGCCCGTCGGGAGGTCAGGCACAGCATTGTCCACATTCTACTACAAAATGTCATAGCGATATTCTGTGCCCGGTGTTGCGGTGGCTCAAGTACGAAGCAGCCCTTCCTCGGAGAGGGTCAGGCATGCTTGTGGATCAAGAAGCCTGGCAGTCGGCTCCTTGCCGAGGTGAAGTACGCCAGCGACTGGTCTGTGTTCCACCTTTGCAGTCCAGAACGCCTCGGAGAAGTCCCCGAGGCCAGGCCTTAGGGAGTTGGGCGGTCGCAGCATCGTGTTTTTGCAGAGCAATGTAATCTTCGGTCTTGATAAGCAAAGCGGCAGCTGGCAGGACCTGCAGCAGAACTTCTGCTTCTACGGTTTCGCCACAGTGCAGTGGTCGCTTGGAGCTAGTCCATGCTTCTTTGTCCTTCTGCAGTCAGCCACCGCTGCTGACAGACCTGATGCACGCGCTGTGCCTAAGATGCTGTGAGGCAGTTTCTTGGCATCAGCCAAGGCTGGGGGTGTTTGGCAACCAACACTTCGCCAACGTGCCGGGCATGGCAGAATGGGCGAACAACGCCTGGGGCACCTTGACAGGCAAGGCAATCCCGAAAAGGCCTTCGTCATTGGCAACGCCCATAAAGAGCCAAGGCTTTTTGAATGATGCATCAAAGTTCAACGCCATGCACTTCCTTGAGACTTGGCTCGGATGATCCGCACAAGAGCTGCCTGAGCGGTTCTTGGTCATGGTTCGATGTGCAGGAAAGCTCTGGGTGGCACGTGAAAATGGTGGAAATGGCCAAAGCCCTCAGCACGAAATTTGTCGGGAGCAGTGGGTACAGGAGCGGGTTGCAATCTCCATCTCCATGTCTGCTGATGGCATGTTCTCATTTCTAAATTCGCCCGGTGCGAGGGTTTCCCGCGATGCAGCGCTGCCTTCAGCGCTGCGGATACCCCAGTTGGTGGTTCGCAGGAGAGACTTGCAACACTGACAGGATTTCAGGCAAGTTACAATCTTGTCCCTTTGCAGGAGTCCGGCTCACACCAGGCAACCTGCCTACAACGAGCTTTCACAAGCCGCAGAGTTGAATGCCCCAAGCTTGCGGGACGAGGTTCCCAGATATTCGTCGACTGAAGACAGTGGCCATCTCGCATCTTGGCTAAGCAGTTACGTGACGTGCGGAGACTTGGTGCCGGTGCAACATGCTCTCTGCTCTGGTCCTGCCCTGTTGTCGAGAAGAGCTTCGTTTGCAGTGCCTCCACGAGGTACCACACTGCGCTGCTGCGGGAGCCGCTCTCTTTCTGGCACCCTGGTGGCTTGCAGTGTTTCTGTTTTCATATTTTCTGCCAAGGCACCGGGTATGAGGAATTTGGGAGGGTTGACAGTCTCCTCCATCGATGTTGAACTTGCCCGGTCGTCTGCAGAATGCCGGTTTTCCGTCAGTATGCTCTAGCATGTGGAGCCCCCGATGGATACATCGATCAGGTCTTGTCTCGTTCCATTCGGCCCTGGCTGGCATTCTCGAAAGTGGTCGTGCAATGAACGGACCGACTCGCCGTGCTGAGGCAGCACATGTTGAGTCACCTCTTCGAAGTGGAGGCTATCTTGCACATTTTGGATGCAACCGCGAAAACTCCGGAGGACGAGATGGAAGACAAGTGCAACAGCTCTGCAAAAGCAGTTTTGGAATGCAGCAAGCAGTGTATGGGTTTGCCGGGTTTGCTTAGTGGTCTTGCCAACAAAACGTCTTCAAGGCCTACTGAGACTAACCCCATGTGGCCAGGGTACAGTTGTTGACGAGCATCCTCCGAATGACTGAAGTCGGGGAGGGGGATGTTGCTGACACACCCCCTTCCCTGATAGTCTCCAAAGCTCAATACACGACGTGCCAGCATGGAACACATCTGGTGTATTGTCGAAGGATGTGGCTCGCTTGCACAACCATTGTCGCTTCATCGCCACGCCCTCAGCGGTAATTGAACAGGCACATGTTGACCTAGTTGGTTTTGACTCGAAAATCCAATCAGCGACGTTTTATTACGTCGACCCCCAGCATGAGAAATGAAGGTTGCAGCTGGCCGCCTACGCATCCAAGAGCAATTCAAAGTGCAGGGAAGTAAGTGAACTGGACATTTCAACAAGCAGGACAGGTAATGCGAACCTTGTTTGCTTCCCCCGCTTTGTGTTCAGCGTAAAGGGGATAAGTTACTGTCTGCGTGAGGCCCGGCAGGCCCGGCAGCTCCGCGGTTCCCAAATCAACCGCCCGTTCTTTCCACAGTCCCGCGTGGTCCCGTCGGAACCGACACTGCAGTCAGAGCAGAGTCCAAAACTCAGGCACTCCCGAGCTTGGTAGTGCTTCCGCCACAGTGCCCTCATCATGTTGATGTTTATCGGTAATCGTACTGCTGTTGGCCGTAGATCGATCGAAGTTGCAGAAGTCCTCGAATCTTGCCGTAGGGCAAAGTGCTGTGTGTCTTCGCCTCCAGCAACGACGATCCCGCCACCGTGCAGTCCTGTGCAACTCGTTCTCCCGCTGCAGTCTCACGTGCTTTTTTGAGTGCGACTCGCGTTGCTGTGCATACGCTGGGCTGTAAATCGTGCTCCCGCCACAGTGTCGTGCTCTCGGGAGCCTTGGGCGTGCTTTGAAAATGGTCCTGGCCACATAAGGCTTAGATTGCTTAGACTGCTAGGCCTGCTTTAGCTGCTCGTTCCTATTTGGCTCTAGAGCGGCTAAGGGCGGAGGGTGGTGCGGCTCGGATGAGCGCCTCCTCCAGCTAAATGAACTCTTTGAGGACCTGGTTGATCACTGCGTTTGGGCAGCATCCGTGTCATCCGTATGCTATAAGGCGAAAGAACAGTCATCAGAGCATGAATTCGGATTCGGTACCTGGCAGGAGGTTGTTTTGGACTGCCACACGGGCGACCACAAGGCTGTACAGATTGGCGATTCTTCACGGCTTCACTTGTTCTCGTGCGTACCGTCGTCTCTTGATTGCGTGATGCTTGTGAGGTCTTGCACTTGTTGAAGGGAGGTGGTTCTGTTGCCTGCGCACATTCCAAATGGATGGACCAACTGAAGAGGTAAGCCTGACTCAGCAGGTGCAAGCTCGTCATCGGGTCGTTTGGTTTTCGGTGTTATTTGCAAGGCTGCTTCCTCGTTTGTATTGGCACCAGGACCGGTCAGCATTTCCTGCTGCCAGCCTGCTGTCGAAGGTTCATCCTTGGAATGCCATTCTCCCGAAAAACAGTCCTCGTGGCGAAGCTGGGGAGCTTTCAAGCGCAGAAGAGAGTCGCGGATCGAGTCTAGGGAGAGTCAGAGGCACAGACAGTTTCTGTGCAAGTTTGAAACGAAAAGCAGGATGCCTTATTCATCACTAGCGCATGAGTTTCAACAAGTCTTCTTCCCTGTTCTTGGTTGCCTTGTGTCCTATTTTGTCGTGTACATGCACGTTACAGAAGAGAGCTCTTTTGGGATACTTATTGGTTCCGGAGCCAGTTCAAATTCAGACCTTCAGAAACCGCCGAATTGAAATCAATCCTTTGCACAGGCACGACATCATTTCCTCAGATCCGTGCCGTGGATGCAGCAGTCTGCGAGCTTTCATGTATTTTCAGGATTGCATTATCCAGGCCGAACTTGACCAGATGTTTGAAGTTGTTCAGCACGCTGCGGCGATGCAATGCGGTGCTTTCATCGTCTTGTTGCCGCATCAGGCGCGAGAGTATCATGACCGGTTCGTGCGGCTTATGGGCAACGATCCCGAGCTGCGGTCTGCTGATTCTTGGGCGCAAGATGGAGCCGATGTAGACAGATCTGCAGGAGTGCTCCTTGATGGAGACGTGTCAGTGATGCCGATGTAGTGAATGCAGCAACTTCTGCCTCAAGCCACTTTTGCCCGAGGATTTCTTCATGTGTGGGGAGCCTGTCCTTTTCTGTCGGCTGTTGGCGCACTTCGGCCGGCCTGTCACAGCCTCGGCGCCTGCTGCGAGGTGTTTGTCCAGCAAAGCTTGGTCAAACGTTTTTCGGCTGACTTCGGTACTCTTTGGTGCCTTTCCAGCCGAAGGTGATTGGTTACATTTCCACTCCCATCTCTGTGTACGCCAGTGTCTCGGAGTGTTGCAGGTGCTTGCAGTCATGCAAGGGTCCATGTGTCAGTGTGGGTTTAAATCTCTGCATTGCCGTAGCAACTGTAAATGGACACGCTTGAATCTCCGATCTTGTGCCCAATACACCAAGTAGCTTTCATAGCTTTTCGCACCCAGGTTCGGGCCGAAGACCGGTCTGAGTGGTACCAACAGTTTTATGAGCCTCGGACTTCTCTCGAGTGATTGCTCCGGAGGGCTGGGCCTAGGGGGCAATGGCGAGATAGTTCGTTCTCACAGACAGGAACAGCTAATAGTGGAGCCAGAGGCACCCTTGGCTGTTGATTACGAACTTGCAACAAAGGAGATGGCTCTAGATGAACGGCACATCTTTGCTGCCACCACGCCACTTTTTGCAGAATGGGTCGCGCAACTTGGTCTGTTTTGGTTGACACCATGAAGCAAGCGCTTCGAATACTCTGTCGTGTAGGGTCTCCAAGAACACCCAAGAGATGATGCGCAGTATAGCTAGTTTGGCGGAAGCATTCCGAAGTGCTGCAGTGCTACAGCATTCGCCTAATTGAATCCATGACGTTGTGGACGTTTGTGGCACATGACGAGTATGAGTAGTTATCGGAGGTATGGCACCGGCATATCATTGCCGGTCATCCGACCTATGTGTACATACACAGAGGCACGTGTTTTTTTCTGCTTCTGTGTCAGTAGCCCCATTCACTATCATGTGTCGACTGAGTTGAGAAATGTTCGAATCACGAATTTCAGGAGCTACACGGTTCCACTCGTTTCGCTTCTTTTTGTACAGGGGGCGTTCTCGGAGCGGTTCGGTTCAACGGCGGTTGAGTTCTGCGGGGTTCACGGTTCTTGGCGTTTCTCGTTCCTGCGGTTCGCGGTTTTCCGCGGTTCTCGGCATGGGCCCTGGCCTGGAGCCGGCTGCAGCTGGGTTGCTTCCTACCCTCCAACCACTTCCGCCTAGTGCCCACCGCACCCACCACCTGCGCCTTACGCCCACTCTCCAATCAGCCTCCGTCCAGCCACCGTGCAGCCACTCGCTGCTAGTCACCTTCCAGCCACCCTTTTTGCCAGCAGCCACCAGCCTCAGCTGCGGCTGGTGGCTGGTGGCTGGTGGCTGGTAGCAAAGGCAGGTGGCTGGAGGGCAGGTCGTTGGAGGGTTTTTTTGCGGTTCAGGCTTCAAGGTCTGCGCGGCTTAGCGGGTTCATGTTTCAGGGGCTTTAGCCTTTAATTAACTCAAACTTCCGTGGGTTTGAAGGGTTTCTAGGGTTCGTATCGTAAAACGGGTTGTGGGGTTTTGCGGATTTTTGAGGTTTGGAGGCTGTTTGGTCTACGGGGGCTTCGAGGATTTTTGGAATTGCGGTGTGCGGTATGCGGTTTAAAGTCAAGGGGTTTTAGGAAACGGGAGCAACCCCCTAACCCACAAATTAAGACCCACAAACTGCCCGCGGTTCCGGTTCGACCGGTTCCGGTTTCAGTGTCTTCATTGTGGTTCGGCGCAGTCCCCGCAGTTCGGTTCGGGAGCGGTTCGGGTCAGCGGCTCCAGTTCGGTTTCGCGACCCTTCAGTAATTTAAGGCGATGTCGAAGGCCTTGCAGAGGGAGTATGGCTCTGGATGTGGATGTATTGTATCGCAAATATCTGAAGTCCCAGCATGACGGCCATGGTTCAAGACCCCGGCAGGCAACTTATTGGCCAAAGCGGGCGCAGGCCCTTTTGTGTGTGATATTTGTGCATCTCAATTGGCATGTTAGAGCTGGGAGCGAGACATCGCGGTTGAATGGCTGCAAGCCTGTGTTCTCGTTTCAGGAGGTGCTGCTTCTGCGAACCGTTAGCTTGTTTTGGGACACGGCGGCTTGGATTAACAATCTTCCAGAGCCGCAGCACAGGTTCATGCGGGGCTTCATGACTACTTGCATCTAGCTGTCCCCGCTCACTGCTTGACTGAGAGTAGCTGACAGGAAGGGCATCTGAGAGGGGGTTAGTTGCGGCGCCTGTGTATCGCAAGCATGGCGGAGTTTAATGCGACGTGTCGAGGTTCGGATCATGATCAGACACATCGCAGGTTGTGAACCTGCTGATTAAGTCACAAGCTCCATGTATAAGGAGTGTGTCCTCAACTACTTTGCGCAAGTCTATGCAGGCGCCAGCTTGCCTTCTGCTTTACTTTGAAAAGGGCCTGTCATGAGAAGCTGTCCTGGGTTGATCGTTTGTACCGCTCCTTGCCCTGAGACTCTTCGGCAACTGCTGCGCTGAGATTTCGAGAGTCTGCCAGTCTCTCTGAGATGCTTCGGTTGCAAACATCCCCTTGAGCTGCCCCGAGAGCTCACGAGGAGTCCCCAGGGCACAGGCATGCTGAGCTTGAGAGATCTCTCCGAGCCTTCGTGCTGGTCGCGTGCAGTAAGTTGGAATAGGTTCGATAGGTATAGGAACCGGACACACTCGATGGTATTTGTTCCTGACCGGTCTTTGCAAGGAAAGAGCGGATGGGTTATTCTACTTTCTCGGAGTTCTTGGCTGCCACTTCGTCAGCATTTGTGGTTCTTGGGTGTGGTCAGAGTCAGAGACGAGTGTGCAAAGGCCGTGATCTATCCGTACAGTCCAAGTCAGTTCTGGTTCTACGAGCCTGATTCTTAGTCGGATCTCTTTCAAAAGAAGACCGTCTCGAAGTCCTCTGCGGAGAGACTGCCCTTTCAGGCTCTATGCCATGGGTGTGCCGATCTACATGCCCTCGCGAGACTCGCTGCCCTTGTATGTGAGTCAGGAGGGCGCTGCAGCCCACCACATGCTTTGTGATGTTGGGCATTGGTGAGCAGTGTGACGTGTGACTCAAGACGCTTGCCAGCATGATCCAGGACTACTCCGTCTGTCCAGACTTCGAGGGTAGCCGGCCTGGACATGCGCCACATCGCGTGCATCCCCATTCGCCCTTCGAAGCTTTCAGCATCTGGAGCTCGTTGATGTTGCCTTTTGAAGAAAAGTCCAAGTGGTTTCAGTAGTCGAGGCCTGCTGGTGGCATGATGCTAGCGCTGACCGCGATTCAAGCACGCGTGATTGGAGCACAAGTATGACTCAAGCCGTGCTGATTTCAACACCAAAGCCGACTCAACCACTCGATGCTCATGCATGCTCGATTCAAGAGTGTGCGCGGTTCAGCAAGGTCCCAGGATTTTCGGGTCTATAGGACTTTGTGGAGGTTCGGGTTCGTGTACTTTGTTTGGGTCTTGAAGGTTTGTGCTTTTTTTGAGTTTACCGTTTCTGTGCATTGTACGGTATGGGTTCTGGAGTGCAGGGTTGCAAGGGTCTGTTGCTTTGAATGTTCAAGGTGTTTAGGGCTTCGGGGTTAGAGTATTGCAAATCAGGGTTTGGTGGGTTTAGGGTTTTTAACCTGTGAGGTAAAGCTTTTGCATTCTTGCGGTTAGCGTTCAGGTTTGAGGGTGGTCTTTGACTTTGGGTCCAGTACGCGAAGTTTCCAGCGTGCAGGCGTGCAGCACCAGTGCAAACATGCTCAAATCCGGCGCCTCATGGCCTCTGCGTCATTCCGCGAGTCCCCTGTGTGCAAATCCGTGGCCCAGTGCGAGAATCAGCGAACCAGCCAATGGCCTTGCGTACGTGAGAATCCGCCGTGCGGTGCAGCCGGTTTCTTCCCTTTCTTCGCCTCGAAGCACATGCGTAGAATGCATCAGTTCTGTAAGGACACCGACGACTGGGCCGCCATGACGTAACTCAGACGCAGCCCAAACAGATGACAGTTTGGACATGTGAAACGCTTCTGGCAGGTACTGGGCAGCTTTCACCGACTACCTAACCTTGCCGCATATCTCCCACTTTGACTCAGTGCCAAGCTTGCTTAAGCCTGGCCCTGAGCGGGCATGAATTTAATGCAACATGATTCGGATAGTTGCGAAGGCGAAGTCATCAAGCGCATGCGGTGTGACTAGGGCCTGCCATTTTGCACTCCTCCTCATCATGTATTGAAGATTGAGCCATCGTGCTCGTCCTTGTCCCCTTCTTACTGTTCAACTTCATGTTTTATCTACATCATGTTCACCAAAGCGCAAATGCTACTGGCAGCAGTCATGGTTTCCAGGTTCGGAAGAAGCAGCAGTGGCATCAATTGTAGCAGCAGCCGATACCCATGCACATGTTTTGCACGTGGCGACGCTAGTGATTGTGTGGCTTGCGTGGTGAACGTTGCAATAGCAATACTGACTCTAGTAGGTTCTGCCTGTCAGAAAATGGCACCCTGCCGTTTTGCGAGGCAGCTGGCTGCCTCGGATCACCAGAAGATCAGCCACTCTATGCAGAGGGCGCATGTGCTTGACTCAGTCGAATTGTATCGTGTCCACAGTCAAGGTGCGAGGGAGTTGTTCACAGTCTTGCTTTGCCCTGCCAGATGGAGCACCTGGGGGTGGCAATGAGTTTCTGGAGTCAGGCCGGCGATGCGAGCTTCTGAATTTGAGTTCAGGGAGGCAGGTCGAACACAAGGCAGGACGACAAGGTGCTGTGAAGATGGAGCCGGAAAAGCGAATCCAACATGGAAGGGGCTTGATGCGCTCGAAGAGAGCTGCACGCCGCGCCAATCCTTCTGACAAGCTCCGGCATGACGGCGACTAACCTGAGCAGCAGCAGCATCACTGGGGACTTCTGCTCCTGATTCTACGACCCGTGCGCACTTGGGCCACGCTGTGCTTGGGCCTGCTGTAGCACCCCAATTTCACTCGGCAGGCAGGTGAATCTGTTCTTTCCTGACGCACCAGACCAAAACGCATCGAGGAGAAGCCTTGTTGCATGACCACTGCGTGCGCAAATCGTGTTGAAAGAATCGTAGCAGAAAGCGACGGTGGAGGTGCTAGTGATGGCACTGGTGTTTTTGGTTCTTCAAGTGCTTGGAAACATGCGAAGACCGCAGTGGAACCGACGACGGAAGGTCTGCAGTTTGCAACTTTCTGTCATGCCACGTCGAACTTGAGAGGCCTTGGAACTCATCGCCTCCCTGCGAGGGGTGCCGCGCACTGTGAGCGGCACTGAACAGGCGGTGAGTAGGAACAGCAAGATTTTCTGACCGATCCGCTCGGGTTTGCAGATGGCTGGAGACCTTGATGCCTCGGACGAGCACCGTGATCTCTCCACACGCCAGCCCAGCGGCCGGGCGCAGCACAACAGAGTGCCCAGCCTCAGTGGTGCATCCTTTCCTGCCGCGAGGGGGCTCCCCTGCTCGTGCAGACGGTGCTCACCGGTTGGCCAATGACGGGGAGACGCGACAGGCCCGTGGTGACCTTCAGTCTGCGCACCTTCGCAATGTGCATAGGTTGCATGTCTTGTGAGGATCATCCTCACGAGTATCACTTCGACTTGGATGGTGCGAACAAGGTGTCGTTGCTCGAGCATGCTTGACCTGTGAGCAGCCGAAACTGCCAAATCTGCAGGCGTCTTATCAGGGCAAATACGGTGCAGATCCCAATCTATGGCACATGACAGTGCTTACAGTGAGAATCAGCATGACGAGCATTGGGCTGTGCTCAGTCGGCGGTTCTCACTGGTGGGTGAAGTTGCGGCGGACGGCTTCCGATCCAGAGGCATATCATACTCTACTCTGCTTTTGCCATCGTTTAACCACATCTTCAGCTGCAGTGTGTGCAGGTCAAGGTTTGGTCCAGAGACTGCTGCACGGAGACATACGGTCCTTTCCTTATGCGCACCTCATCGCTTAATTTTGGCTCTTGTGCTTCATCTCAGGCCATGTGCTTTTTTTCCTGCTGGGCAACAGCACCGAGATAGACAGAGCTGCTGAATGTGCCTCCCTGAAGGCATGTGGTTTCTACACCGCTCTCGGGAATATCTATTTGGCCTCCAGTGGTAGTTCATGTATCCTGGAACATACATGAATGCGTTGCTTTTACGCCATGCAACAATCGACAAGTGTCTCTGCTCTTCGTCCGATTGCTTCCGCGTGCAGGTGCCAAGCAACGTGCAGGTTTCAACAATCTGCCCGGGCAGAGGAGACTACCTTTTCGTTGAGGTGCAGTTCTCTGTCAATCAGATCATTGGTGATATACGTGCATAGACGTAGGACAGCCCGATCTAATTGGCTACTGCAAGGCCTTCTTGAATGTGCTGCTTCGTTGATCCCTTCACCAATGACCATGCAGAAGCAAAAGCTATGCGGATGGTTGTGTCTGTGCTCTTCGGCCGTGTATCAGGTCTTCGATGTGTGTGGTAAGAGTGGTTTCGCCAAACTGCGAAATTGCTGAGTTTGATTCAGATACCCCCCTTTTACAAGTAGTCGATTTGTGTATCGTTTGGCGAAGCGTTGCGCAGGCGCGTCCCTATGTGGGCTTCGACTACACTGACAGCTCTGTCGCCGTGTTGATGTTGCCTGAGGTGCCGCTAGCCAGGGAAGTTTTTGCATGGGCGTATCTGGGCGTAAATCTTGGAGATGTTTGGTCCTCTGTCTTCGACCCTTCGATGCAGGTGCGCGTGCTGAGCCGCGACTGAAGCAAAAGGCTGCAGCTGTGATAGTCTCGGACCAATTAGGGCTGCTCGTAGCAGGCGTCAGCAGCATTCGTGCCTGTGCGAGATCACTCGGTCCCGGACACTGTGTTTTCCACTCAGCCATGCCAGCTTATTGTGCCACAGTCGAGCCCCAGCTTCTCCAACTTCACTTACTTGGTGGCATGTTGACACGTGCGACATTGTGACAATATTGAGTAGCGCAAGTCTGATTAAGTGTGCACATGCAGCACTGAATCATGGGCCACGCCCGAGATGCCCGATCCCCAGTGAATGGTGCAATCATGCGCAACTGAATTGCGAACGTGTAAGTTGAACAGCATCCTGAGCCGTTCCTTGCTAGTCAAGGCCAGCGGCCGCTCATTGGCCAATGCTGCCGCAGTGCCCTCAGATGGCACAGCCGCTGACACAGCCTGGCGCTGTGCTTGGCTGAAAAGCGGCCTATAGCCAAGGCGACGGCGCTGAGCTCTGGCCTCCCTGCCTCTCTGGGCCGCGCTGCGGCCGCAACTGCGGAACCCGCACTTGGGGTCGTCGCTGAGAGTCGCAGGCCTGGACAGAGGAAGGTCTCCGGCTGGTTCAGCTGAAATGACAGATACTCGGGAGGCAAAGGGAACAGCAGGAACATCTGCTTCTGAAAGCACAAGAAGAGCTTCAAAAGGCGCCTGCTGGTGCTCAAGCAGCTTTGTCTACGTGCATGTGAGACAGGGAGTCAGAGAGACAATGCAAGCGCGGGTGGGGGGTAGCTGAAGCTAACCCCTCGCCCCTTCTTACTCCTGAGAAGGTTTTTCAGGTTCCCCGAACACACCTCCGACAGGGAGTCCAGCTGTTGTGGATCTTGTGAACAGGGGTAAGGAGGAGAAGTCAGGCCAAGGTGGACTTGAGAGAGTTGTGGCACGCTGGTGCCACGCGAGGCGAGTCGCAATGCCCAGGTGGTGCGGACCCGAATTAAATTGTGTATCGGAAGGGCAAGCTACGATCAGAATCGGTCTGCTTTCGAAGCAAACGACCCACTGCACTGTCGTCTGACTTTTCTCACTGCATGTGAGGCGAAATAACCACCCAAACAACAATTTCCTGAGGCAGTTGAACGGCGAGCAGGCGGTCCGCCGGAGGCATGTGCTTGTGCTCCATGCCTTTTTGCTCGCGGTACTATGCGTCACGGAGCATTTCATTGTAACCACAAGCAAACGCATCAGTGGGCAGCGGCGTAGTTTTGTAGCATCCCGCGCAAAGCCCTGGCCTGCACTTGACTTTTGGTGATACCAGGATATATCGGCCATCGAAAGCAGGCAGCATTGGCAGCCATCGTGCCATTTTCTGGCTCAGACAAGTCACGCCAACCTCACAGAAACAAAGTGGGAGCATCCTCCCACTGAGATCTGGAACGCGAACGTAGAAGCTGACGGCCCCAGCTTTCCAGAGTTGTTGTCTGTCGCCCCAGTCTCTCCAACGGTTCGAGCCCAGGCCATGCCCCTGGTGCTTCGGCTTTTGATGGTGCTGGCCGCGGGCCTGATGATGCGACAAAACTGGGAGACCTCCGATGCGTTTTTGCCGTGATATGCCGTGATGTTCAACGGAGGTTTCCGGGCTCCGCCTCGGCGCCTCGCTGCCAAGTCCAAGTGTGACTCGGCAGAAGGGCCGCAGGGGCCTGGGGGCCGCTTCCATCTTGAGCGAAACAGAAGAAGAGGAAGCTTCTCCGGGAGGCGGCAAATCTCCGGACAGGCGGCAGATTGGACGAGGTTGAAGGGGAATTGGGAACGGAACCCGGGGCTGCTTCTTGCTGCATCTTGCAGCAAACCGTGAGGACACTTTGCAGGCTATGCTTCGGGAGATCGAAGACGACGAGGGCCTGCAGGCCCTCTCTGAAGAGGTTCGCCAAGCAGACAGTGCGATGATTTGCGCCAGGTTCTGCTTTTGCTGTTTCTGCATGGGCAAAGGTTACAGCCAGATATCGAAAGCCCAACTTTCAGATTGTCAGGGGCACGCCAGGCTCCTTCAGCATGCAGTAGGACAGCACAGTGTTCAGACCGTTCTGCATACAAAACGGCAGGCGAGTCGAATCCTGACGAAGGCCAGTAAGCAGGGAAGACAGCGCAGTTACAGTCGTGCGATCCTCTCCCCTAGTTTACTGCAGGTCGCCTGGTCTGACCTGTGGTGTTCCGCAGCAGGATGTGAGCTTCCACGTAGACCCGGAGGCCTTGGCACATGATCGCCCCCAAGGTCCCGGTTGGATAATTCATGACAGCAGCGGCCGAGTCTAGGGATCACCATCTACTTGGGCCCGACAAACAGCTTCGAATCTTCCCTGCTGGAGCGGCTGCTGTCGCGGCATATGTACAGACATGTGCGTATCAAAACGGAAGCTCGCCTGCTGTAATCTGAACACAAAATCAAAGACATAAGAAAGACGCAAGGCCGCAGAGAGCTTCCCACTCAGGGTAAAGGCTGGCGCCAGCCTGATACCAACCACAGATGGGGCACGAATCCCTGTTCTGGCCTTGCGGAAATCAAGCCCGAACCTGCTTACCTGCTTGCTGTGGTTTGCGTTACTTGGTGGACCCTTTTGCGATAAGAAGCCTGCATTGGGCGGAGCCTGCGGCGACGGATTTCGTTGCCTTGCGGTGTGAGCTTTTTTTGTCCAGGCCGATTCTCGCAAGACTCCTGCGACAAGGCGGAAGAACACTGAAGGAGTGCAGGAACGAACTTGTTTATCCTGTCTGTAGCCGTCCGGATAATTGGAAGCCGCAAAGTCAGATTTGCAGCTGCATGCTCTCTGGGTGTGTGGCAGTCCCTGCCAGCGTGATGTCATCGCGCGGTTGGGGCACCTTCTTGTTTCTTCTTTGCAACAGGTCAGGCAAAGTCCGGGCCCAGTCGCCGCGCACACGAGCTGTAAGGGGCCTCAGTTGCTACGGTTGGTTGTCGTGATGTGTGGGAAGTGCCAGATGACGGCGGTCCGAGGTTCGTCCGGTGCTTCGAGGACCAGTTCCTTCTGCCAGGTGCCAGCGGCAGCGACATATCTGACTCGCTAGATCTTGCTGGTGAAGTGGTGATGTATTTGTGCAGTCTATTCCGGCTAAGCCAGCTTGGTATGTTCCAGAGGCAGCGCAGCGGAAGTGGCGAGGCATGTTGTGGATGTGCTTCTGACATGGGCTCTGTGTCGCCAGCACCTGTGCTTTCTCCGAGCCTGCGCAACAGGTCACGGCAATTGACGGCCGGCCTGCAAGTGGTGTGAGCTGGGGACTCATTAGATTGAGCTGCCGGAGTGGTGAAGAGTTCAACAAAGTGCAGCAGCTTGCGGTGTTGCGGCGCAGGGATTTGCCCCACCTCATGCCACGATCTCTCGAATGTCCACATGCTTCATATCCTTCGCAGGTGCCTCGCTGCGAGCTGCGGCGGCGCTTTCACCGCATCGAGGCTTCTGCCAAGTTCCCAGCACGGCCAGCCCATGGCAGAGGCTTTCATCTGTATGAAGGTAGTCAGAACTCTCAGACGAGTGCGCAGCCCTGTCGCAGCTGTTTTCGACTGCCGAGACCACGCTTCGTCAGCGACGTCCTTGTGCCTTTGGCGGCAAGTCTGCTCTGGAGCATCCATGTGCATCCTGCATGTTCGTGGTGAGCAGAAGGCCACGGTGTAGAGAAGTGACTGACGAATTCGCAACTGCAGCGACAGCGGCCACCCGGAAGAGCGATCCATGGGTTGCTCGTTGAAAGTTTTTGCCATCACGAGGCGAAACAGCCGCCAGCAGGCGCAGATGATGTAACGCACAGCTCAGATGTACGGTTGGCAATGTGTCCCATTAGCTAGCAGCTAGTATATCAAACATGACGAGACTGACATGTTGCACTTGCTTGCATCTGGCATCTTTGAGCAGGGATCCCGGCTGGCGTGGACTGCTCCCGCTGCAACTCCAGGTAGCCGGGACAGGGCTGCGAGAGTGGAGCCAAGGCGGGGCAACTGCACAGTGGGCCCTTGTGAGGTCTTGGGTCCGCCTCACCCGAGCCTACGCCACTTGCGGAGCCAGAAGAGGAGAAAGCCGAGAAGGCCGACCAGGCACCGCAAGTACCCCCCTTTGCTATCCAGTTTGACCGCTTTCCCAAGCCGTCCTCCAAACCGCCACCGAAAAATTCCTGCCCCCACTCACTCGACGTGGGCTCTTGGAATGTTTCTGCGAGCGACACACATACATAGCTTTCGCAGCAGGACGAGCCTTCGCAGTGCAGCTCGCAAAGACCTCAGTCGGCCTTGCATCTCGCAGCACATGGGTTTGGCAAGACCACCAATGAGTCACTGAGGCTTATTTCGAAGCTCTGTGTCTGTAGTTCTGCCGATACGAAGCAGAAGACTGGAACCTCAGCTCACCAGGATCCAGCCCTCTCCATCCTGGAAACGGCTTGCGGGGGGTCCTGGAAAACCTTGTCTCAAGCCCAGCGCTGACACGATCACCACAGCATGGTGTGCTCTGCTGAGGAGAAGACAGTGACTGCCTATGTGTCGCGCCGCAATGTCAGCTCGCCGCGGCCCCAGCTTCTGGCGTTGCGATAGCAGTTGTCCAAATCAACGGCTTTGTTGTCTCTATCCTTCACCTCAGGTCCGAATATGAGCAGGTTTGCCAACGCTACGAGGGGTGCCCTGGCCCATTGCTTCCAGCACGACTTGGTGTTGAGCAGTATGTTGATGGGACAAAGGAAGGAAGCCATGCAGATGCTAGCTTGACATATGAAGGCACTTGAACGAGTTGAAAGTCCTCTGCGATGCCGTTCGCCAAACGAACACGCACCGGCCCCAGACAGCAGTCTCGTCAATGCAGACGACCTAAGCAGCTTTGATGGCAGTGTGCAGAGCTTCGCCGCGCCAGGTCGCCACGGACGGCCTCTCCAGAGAGGAAGCCCTGCAGTGCTCCCTGCCGACACCGGGGGAAGCCTCCACTGTGTTACAGCACACCCTCGCAGGTATCAGCTTCAGGGAACTCCATGATGACAAGGTGGGCTGTTCCTTGTTAAGCTTGTTTTTCGTCTGTCGCCTGCGATTGCTGCCACGTCGAGACTCGTCTTCAGGGCTTTCGGGAATTTCTCGAGCTCCGCGATCCACTGCTGACCTCGAGGGCATTGGGACTCAGATGCTAAATGTGCTTCGACGTGCGAGCCTACACGAGTCGTCTCCTGTCATCAGGCTGCCCGGCAGCGCAGCTGCAGTCCACCGAAGGCCCGCCCTAAGCCCTAAGCTCCCCGCTCTTTTCATCCGTCTTGCGTGGCTTTTCTTCATTCGGCTTCCAGGCTCCGCCTCCGCCTCCGGCACCCCGAGCAAGGTTCCCGCGCCACGGCTCACACTGCCACTAAACCCAACCACTTGAGAGCGCAGCATGCAGATCTCCGCGGGAGTTGCGCCCGGAGCCGCGCCGATCCGTTTCAGGCGGGAGGGGAAGGGGGACAGCGTTTTTGCTTGGTTTTGCTCACTGTCTTGGTGCACGGCGCACCCATCAGGTCGGATGGCCAGCACCCGTCTCCCAGAGGAGAACAACTCCGAGGCATCACGGGTAGGTCCTTCGGGTGATCCGGCAAGGCTGAACTGCGATCCTGAAAGTGGGGGACCTTGTCCGTGCGAGGCCGCCGAGGACAAACCCGTCATATCTCCGCTGTTGAGTGGAAGCCCGAGAATGAAGTGTAGCCAATCTGATCGACTGTGCGATGATGTTAACCCGCTCTGTTCTGAGGCGCCGGAGTTCTCTCTGACACCCCCTTGCCCATGATCACTTTTGGCAGGGATGAGGAGCCTGCCATTAGTCAGCTACCACGGCAAATAGCAGAAGCGTCGCAGAGCAACAGATACGTTCGAGACCGAGGACAGCGACCTGGAACATGTGCGTAACTTGTTTGCCACACAGGCCATTCCGTGCTGTCCATAAGTGCGTGTGTTTCGGCAGTGTGAAAGTTGGTCCTGTTTGCTGCACGGCCAGGTTCCGGAAGCGCTTGTCCTGGGAGTTTATCGCGTGGAGAATCCAACTCTCGCTGGGTTTCCCAAGTCTTGCGTGGAAGAATTTTGCCTGCGGCAAAAGCCACTACGGGCCTTGGCCTGACGGCAGCAAACGATGTAGGATTCGATCTCGTGGCTTCAGTTTTGGCTCTGCGCTGTTGAAGCATGGAGAGTCTGTAACTAGCGGTTGCAATCACCCGAGGCCGGAGTCTATGCCGCGGTGCGCGATGCAATGGGCAGCGAGTGTGAGCCGCGAGCCAAACAGGGATGGGTATTAAAGCCTTTCAGAATTCCACTGGTAGAGAAGCAATCGCTTTAAGAGCGCTGCTTTTGAATGCTTTTGGCACAAGTGTGGGTGCACGGTGTGCATGGCCAGACTCGTTTTCGAGGTTGGATCTGTGGCACGGCACATCGAGCGAGCTTGATCCCCAGCCTGTTTTCTGTTCGGATAGAAATCAGACGACAAGCCAACGACGTGGGAGTTTTGGTATGTTTGCTTGCCACACATTGACATGTGTTCGTCAAACATGGCCTCAGATGGGTCTGGATCGAAGCTTGCATTTTCTCAGGTGCGTTCCCAACATTGTGCTCAATGGCTTCAACCGAGCTTACAGCGGACGTCGGCACGGAGCCAGCCTCAGCCAGCTGCAGCGTTTACCCGATATCGGCAGATGATCTTGCCAAGCCATGTGCAGCGTCTTTTACTCGCTGCTCAAGGAACGAAGCTCGGGCACGGCTGCTACTTCTCTGCCTCTGCTGCCTACAGCATCTCACGTGCAGCTAAAACCCAAGCCTGCATGCGGATCTCCGAGCTAATCAGCCAGCGCCAGCTCAGGCACGAAGTTCTGTGAGCGAAAGCGACCTCGCCGAAGAACTGTGTTCTTTGCCAAAGTCCTCGTCGGCGAGCACTGCTCAGTTCTTGTACATGGAAGGGTCACATCAGCTCCTCTGATTGGAATCTCAGGCCTGGGCAAAGGGCTCTCCAGATCTGGTAGAGCCTGGGCCTTGGTGCTAAGATTTCGGGGTAAAGGCCTTTTGTTCTCTCCTAAGCTCTCAGGCCTCCCTGCCGGGACAAAGATGGCCTGGTTCGTTCCCGGCTCGGTGACTGCAGCTAGCCGACACCGTGGATTCTGGAAGGGTCTTTTGTGGGGACTCTTGGGTCACCCAGGCTTCGACAGCACAGTGGACGACGCGGAGTGTCCTGTGAACTTTTGCATCTTCCGGGACTTTCAGGTGGGCATGGCATCGGCAGTTCCACTGGCAAGAATGCGGCAGTTGAGCATGCTCCACGTGGAAGAACGACTACCGTAGCAAGTTACGTGTCTAGCATGATCGCTACATGAGTCGCCTCATGCGAGAGGGCACAGTCGGTCTCTAACAACGACACATCGGTTCAGAAAATCAAGTTCGGAAAACCACGCGAGCCGATGCGAAGACAGATTCGGAACATGCCAAGGACCGATTTTGGAAAACACTGCCAAAGCATTCTGCTGCTTCTGCTGCTGCTGCTGCTGCTGCTGCCTCTGCTGCTCCTGCTCCTGGTCCTGCTCCTGGTCCTGCTCCTGCTCCTGCTCCTGCTTCTGCTGCTTCTGCTGCTTCTGCTGCTCCTGCTCCTGCTGCTGCTGCTGCTGCTGCTGCTGCTGCTGCTGCTTGTGCGGCTGCTGCTGCTGCTGCTGCTGCTGCTGCTGCTGCTTCTTGGTCACTTCTTTCACTCTGATGTGCCCACCCTCGCAGAGCCGTACTTGCAGTGGGGTTTGCCATCCGACAAGTCCTTTCAGTGTTGCGGGTTTGCCAGCCAATAACCGTTCCTGTTTTAGGGCTAAGGCTTTTCGAGCCAACATGTCCTTGCAGGTTTGGCGTTTGGCTGCCAGTATCTTCCTCTTTCACGGGGTTTGGGGTTTGCCTGTGCTCCCTCCCTCTTTTCGGGCCCGGGCTTTGCCAAACCAACATGTCCGTGCGGGGTTGAAGGTTTGCCTGCAAGTTTCTTCTTCTTTTATGGTTTGGGGTTTGGGCGTGCTCCTCTTTTAGAGCTCATGCTTCGCCAACCGACATGTCCTTTGAGAGTTTAAGGTTTGCCTGCCAACATCTTCTTTAGGGTTTGGGGCTGTTGGGGGTTTGCCCTGGTCCTCTTTTGGAGCTCATGCTTCGCGAACCAACATGTCCTTGTGGGCTCTTGGGTTTGCCTGCCAATATCTGTTTGTTTTTTCTTTTCTGTTAAGCTGGATTGCCCACGTTAGGGCGAAGGCTTTTCCAGCCAGCATGTGCAGGGTCTAGGGTTTGCCAACCAAAGAGTTTTTTCAGCGTGCGGGGTTTGCCAGGCAATACTTGGGGTTTGCAAACATCTTGGTTTGGGGCCTAGGCTTTGCGAACCCAATTTTTTTTGGGATCAGGTTTGCCAGCCAACATACTCTTCGTTGAGTGTCATGCACTTTAGGGTTCAATCGTATGTCAGGCAAGATCTTAGGTTTTGGGGTTTGCCCGTGCCTTCCTTGTCGGGTTAATACTCTGTCAACCAACAGGTCCTGTTACGGTTCAGGCTGCAAGTATCTTCTTCTTTGCCCATGCTCCTCTTCAGGGCTCGGGCTTTGCGAACCTACCCACATCTTCTTCGCAGGGTGTTTGGGGATTGCTGCCCGCGGTCCGCGGTCCTTTTGTTTTGGGGTTGGAGATTTACCAACCATCATTTGATTTTGAGAGTTTAGGGTTTGCCAACCAGACGTGTTTCAGGTGTGAAGTTTGCCATCCAAGATCGTCTTTTGGGGTCTGGGGGGTTTGCTAACCAACATTTGGTTTTGGGGTTTAGGGTCTGGCTACCGATGGTTTCGTATTTTAGGGTTTGGGGTGTTCCACACACAACTTTTGTTTTAGGGTCAGGGTTTGCCAACCAACATGCCCTGTACTGTTAGGGTTAAGGGTTTGCCAATCAATAACTTTTTCGTTTAGGGTTTGGGGATGTTTCGATTTGGGGGTCGTCCCTTCAATTTAAGGCCTGCCGACTGACTGTTGAGAAAGGGGTTTGTTCTCCAGATGTTCTTTCATTGTTTGGGGTTTGCCAGGCAACATCTGCAAGCGAAGTTCAGGGATGATTACCGTTTGCCCATACGTCTTCTTCCTTCAGGTTTTGATCTTGCAGATCAGCATCTCCTCTTGGGGTTTTCGGGTTTGCCTACCAACAGCTGTGGTTTGCCAACCAGTATCTTCTTCGTTTAGGGTTCGATTGGGGGTGTGCCAGCGGCGATTTGCTTTTGGGGTTTGGGCTTTGCCAACATCTCCTTGTAGGGTTTCGGGTTTACCGACCAGTGCCTTTGTTGTCTTTCGGGGTTTGGGTTTGCCACACGATATGTTTTAGGGTTTGAGGTTTGCAAGTTGCAAGCCTCTTCTTTTAGGGTTTGGGTTTCAGGAAGGACCAGAAAGGATTCTCGTGGGGCCTGCGTTTGTGTGTGACCCGATGATAGAGCTTGCATTTGTTTGTGGACGGACAGGTTTTGCGGTTTCGGTGGGGCGGGGCGGGGCGGGGGGGGGGGGGGGGGGGGGCCGAAAGATAATCGTTTTTCAGAAAGGTACACCCGCGGTCTTCCTTCAGGGCTAGGAGTTTGCCATCCAGCCTGTCTCACTAAAGTCCAGGGTTTGTCAGCCCACATCTTCATGGTTTAGCCCACGATCTTCTGATAGGTTTACGGCTTTGTCAACCAACGTCGTAACGTCGCGTTTGGGGTTTCAGGGTTTGCCGAACAACAACGTTTCTTGATTAGGGCTTGAGGTTGGACCCCGTGCTACTTTGTTGTGGTTTATCCGGCATGTTCTCTTAGCATTCAGGGTTCGCCAACCAATACCTGAGTTTGATTTTGGGGGTTTGAGGTTTGCTCCCACGATCTTCTTTGAGTGTTTGAACTTTGCCAGCCGACATCTACTCTTTTAAGGTTTTGGGGTTGCTGGCCATGACTGTTTAAGGGGTTTGGGGTTTATTCTCAAGATCTTCTTTCAGAGTTTCGGGGTTTGCCAAGCAACTTTTGCAAGAAAGGTTCCGAGATGTTTACCGTTTGCCCATCAATGTCTTCTCCCTTCAGGGTTTGATCTTGCTGACCAATGTCTCCTCTTGGGGTTTTCGGGTTTGCCAACCAACAGCTGTGGTTTGCCAAACAGTATCTTCTTCGTTTAGGGTTCGATTGGGGGTGTGCCAGCCGCGAGTTGCTTTTAGGGTTGCGGGTTAACCGACCAGTGCCTTTGTTGTCTTTCGGGGTTTGGGTTTGCCACACGGTGTGTTTTAGGGTTTGAGGTTTGCAAGTTGCAACCCTTTTTTTGGGGTTTGGGTTTCAGAAAGGACCAGGAAGGGCTATTATCGTGGGGCTCGCGTTTGTGTGTGACCCAATGATAGAGCTTGCAGTTGTTTATGCACGGACAGTTTTGCGGTTTCGGGGGGGCGGGGGAGCAATCGTTTTCCAGAAAGGTACACCCGCGGTCTTCCTTCAGGGTTAGGAGTTTGCCATCCTGTCTAACTAAAGTCCAGGGTTTGTCAGACATCTTCATGGTTTAGCCCGCGATCTTTGTCAACCAACGTCGTAACGTCGCGTTTGGGGTTTTAGGGTTTGCCGAACAACAACGTTTCTTGATTAGGGCTTGAGGTTGGACCCCGTGCTACTTTGTTGTGGTTTATCCGACATGTTCTCTTAGCATACAGGGTTCGCCAAACAATATCTGAGTTTGATTTTGGGGGTTTGAGGTTTGCTCCCGCGATCTTCTTTCAATGACTGGACTTTGCCAGCCGACATGTCCTCCTTTGAGGTTCAGGGGTTGCTGACCATGACTGTTAAAAAGGGGTTTGTGTTTGTTCTCAAGATCTTCTTTCAGGGTTTTGGGGTTTGCCAAGCAACTTCTGCAAGTAAGGTTCCGGGATGCTTACCGTTTGTCCATCAATGTCTTTTCCCTTCAGGGTTTTATCTTGCTGACCAACATCTCCTCTTGGGGTTTTCGGGTTTGCCAACCAACAGCTGTGGTTTGCCAACCAGTATCTTCTTCGTTTAGGGTTCGATTGGGGGTGTGCCAGCCGCGATTTGCTACATCTCCTTGTAGGGTTGCGGGTTAACCGACCAGTGCCTTCGTCTTTCGGGGTTTGGGTTTGCCGTACACGATATGTTTTAGGGTTTGAGGTTTGCAAGTTGCAACCCTTTTTTTTTGGGGTTTGGGTTTCAGAAAGGACCAGGAAGGGCTATTATCGTGGGGCTCGCGTTTGTGTGTGACCCCATGATAGAGCTTGTAGTTGTTTGTGCACGGACAGGTCTTGCGGTTTCGGGCGGGCGGGGGCGGGGGGGGGGTGGGGGCGGGGGCGGGGGGGCAATCGTTTTTCAGAACGGTACACCCGCGGTCTTCCTTCAGGGTTAGGACTTTGCCATCCAGCCTGTCTCACTAAAGTCCAGGGTTTGTCAGCCCACATCTTCATGGTTTAGCCCGCGATCTTTGTCAAGCAACGTCGTAACGTCGCATTTGGGGTTTTAGGGTCTGCCGAACAACAACGTTTCTTGATTAGGGCTTGAGGTTGGACCCCGTGCTACTTTGTTGTGGTTTATCCGACATGTTCTCTTAGCATACAGGGTTCGCCAACCAATATCTGAGTTTGATTTTGGGGGTTTGAGGTTTGCTCCCGCGATCTTCTTTCAGTGACTGGACTTTGCCAGCCGACATGTCCTCCTTTGAGGTTCAGGGGTTGCTGACCATGACTGTTAAAAAGGGGTTTGTGTTTGTTCTCAAGATCTTCTTTCAGGGTTTTGGGGTTTGCCAAGCAACTTCTGCAAGGAAGGTTCCGGGATGCTTACCGTTTGCCCATCAATGTCTTCTCCCTTCAGGGTTTGATCTTGCTGACCAACATCTCCTCTTGGGGTTTTCGGGTTTGCCAGCCCACAGCTGTGGTTTGCCAACCAGTATCTTCTTCGTTTTGGGTTCGATTGGGGGTATGCCAGCCGCGATTTGCTTTTGGGGCTTGGGCTTTGCCAACATCTCCTTGTAGGGTTTCGGGTTTAGCGACCAGTTCCTTTGTCTTTCGGGGTTTGGGTTTGCCACACACGATATGTTTTAGGGTTTGAGGTTTGCAAGCCACCGGGTTCCATTTGGGTTTGTTGAGCTTATCTCTTCTTCTTTTCGGGTTTGGGTTTCAGAAAGGACCAGGAAGGGCTATTATCGTGGGGCTCGCGTTTGTGTGTGACCCCATGATAGAGCTTGCAGTTGTTTATGCACGGACA